TTATTAATGATGTTTGAAGGTATAAATGTCATCACAGTAAAATCAGCAATGACTCCAGACTGTAAAATTATGGCGCATAGAATTATATCGAAAACCGTTTTACTAAGCTGAGGTAATTTTGACGTTTAATGATAAAATAGTTTGCAGTAGATAACTGTAGACGATCGACTGTTCACGATTAATTATTTTCAGGCGAAAACCAGCAAACTATCTCAAGAAGCAGCTAAGAAAGGACTTCAGGTGGACATAGAGAGGGTTGGGTGATGAAGATAACCAACAGACAACAAAAATACAACAACAACCAGCACCATCACCATCAACGGAAAAAATTTGAAAGAAGTAACTTCCTTCGCTTATCTAGGAAGCATCCTTTCAACCAAACGTGGAACGTATCAAGATGCAAAGACAGCCAACCAGAATCCGAAAGGCAATGTGCACTTTTATCAGTCTGAAACCAGTTTGAAAATCTGTCTCACTAACTCAGCATAAAGAATAAAATTCAGATTTTCAACACATGTGTGGAATTAGTCAGTCAGTTCTTCTATACGGGTCAGAAACTTGTCATACCAATCACGAAAGGTATTTCCAACAGGTTGTAGACTTTTATCAACAGCTACACGTTTCGCTGGCTCCATATAAGAGATCGAATGACTGGTCGGCCAGAAAGAATTAGCAACAAGAAACTCTGACTGGAAACAAACCAAAGAAGAGCCAAATACTCAACAAATAAGTAGGAAAAATGGAGATGGATAGGGCACACACTGAAGCGGCCGTCGAATGACATCACACGCCAGGCCACTGTTCGAGTGGAGTCCAAATGGGAATCGATGAGTGTGTTGTCCTTAGGTGATAAGGAGAATATCGCGAAAGGAGGAGACGACAGATTATGGTCAATCGTGGACTTGGCTAAAGTGGACAGCAGAGAATAGAAGAAAGCGGAGATGTGTTGTTGAAGTCAGACCTATTTTCCACTCGGAACCTAAGGGAACAACAGTAACAGTAATAGTCCAACCCACAAATAACATTGTAATTCATTGATATAAATATTCAATTACGCCATCCATCATTTTAAAATGCATAACATACCTCGACAGATTTTAATGTTATTTCATCTATATCACACTAACAACTGGATGGATTAACAGTTCGCCTAAGTATCTAGCCAGAATTCGGGTGGTTTGAATTGATCTGGCTTTCTGGGCTGAGTCAAATCGGGTACACCACTGATTGAATTGCCTCCCCCCTCCCGGTGTTCAAATTACCTTGATATGATTAGCAAATACGACTGGTTTATGTGAGCAGTGTCCACCTCTCCATGTCAATCATTCAGTGATGTATAGTGTCATAGATTCATTTCGTCTATATATTTTAAATGGAAATGTTTTGGAAAATGATGAATACATCTAGTACTTGCCTTGTTTTACGTATCTAATAATAATCATACTAATAAGGACAATCAGACTGTGGCTTCTGTAGCGATTTTATTATTTTCAATGTTGATTTCGTTATTAATCTACATCAGTTGAGCGACCCTTAGCGGGATCAATAATGTGTACTGTGAAGTGTCTAAATTTATGATGAAACTGATGTTCAGTGCTCCTCCGTTTTCAATGACTGTCTGACCGATGTCGGATAGTGTCAAAATCTACATATAAATTAATCCAAATCCTTACAAATTTCTTCCGAACGTTGATCTCCCGCTCACAGATGTCGGTTTGAAGTTTTATTGAAAACTCACGGTTAGTGTGACCCTATATCGTGAACTGATAGGAGTTATAGTTCGTGAACCATTGGATCTTAACCCAGTAACTGAGCTGTCAGTGGGCTGCCATCGTACCCTTAAGGTCGTGAATTCGATTCCCAGTTGGTTTATACGTGTACCATGCTGAAGAGTCTGAAAGTAGGACGACACATCTGTGCACTGTTTCCTGGATTTCTCTAACTGATTTTGGGTATTGGTGAAATCTACATAGAAAATAATAAAAAGTCTTACGTAATATGACCAGCTATTTTTCAGGAATACTTATGTTACAGATATATTCTGAATGTGCAGTTAATCGATGCTACACCCCTTTCACTGCAACCGTAGTAAATGTATTGTAAGATATCCGGAATCTTAGGAGGGGTTTGAGTAGCTATTTCTGGATACACAACTGGCCAGTTCGTCATCAACTTTGAAATCAGTCAAATCCTTGAAAATGAATCAAGTGTACACTAGTCATTGACCATATGATGAATTTGCCTGGCGTTCTATTGAGAAGTCTTGACCAGTAGGGTCCACCAAGTTAAGTGTGTGGACAAATACTCAATGATGACACTAACTAGTGAAAGTCGGAATCCATGCATCACTAGACTCCATCCTTGTGGCTGAGTGGCTAGCAAATTCACATTGCTAGACAAAGTTTCTGAGCTCAATGCCAGGTGGATTCATGGACGCTTTCTGCTAGAGAGTCCTAAAGAAGGACGAATAGCCATCCATTACTCTCTGGTTCCTAATGGTTCTCTAAATGAAGTCCTTTTTTGTGATCAATCTCAAAATCAGTTATATCCCTGCAAAGCAACACATGGAAGTTTGTACTTTTGTTCAAAGAATAGTTCTGTTACTTCACTAGGTTAAGCGATTACTTCTATGAGTGGATAAAAGTTACTTTGAAAGTTATTTATAAAAGATACGTAAATAGCATAATTCTTTTTCTTCATATAAACTGAAGACAGTTATTTGATTAAACGAAAGCATGAACGAGACAAGTTGAACTCAAAATGGTGTCTCATAGTTTATTTCCTTAAGTCGAATCACTTTGCTTTGCATTCGTTTGGATAGTTTATTGTTAAATACACGACCTCAAAATAAAAAATAACAATAATCTCAACTGCTTCATTCGAAAAGGTAAAATCATCACTGAAATCAGCAAATTCAAACGTTTTTATGCACTACAATCATGTTCCAACGGGTAGTTGTTGGCCCTACTTTAGGATTATTGAGCACAGCTGACCAACGATCACAACGAAGATCAAACATGAGAGCTCGAATTAACGAAAGCAAGTCCGCTGGCAATTCTGCCTCTTAGGGACCCATACCACGTTGTAAACGCCAATTCTCGTCTGATCATCCAAATTAAGCAAAGTTTGTCCTGATTAGTATTTGAATTGTTGACTGGCTGAGAATACCGGGTTTTGCCGGCTTTTTGTATCACTAGTTCATCAGTAGAATGCTCACCAACCACACATATGGTCCAGGATTCGATCCTAAGTGGGCTCACTCCTAGACCAGCTGACGGTAGGCCCGAAAAGTTTTCAACGTAGGGTGTGAGTCCAGGAACCCCTACCCCTCGGTAAGACATCAATACACCTAGAGACTTTAGTTCCACTCGCGACGCAGTAGAATGAAAGCGAAGCTTTACATGCAGAATAAATTTTCTGAAAAGTGGAATAACATTGACTACAACTCAATCAAATGTAGTGATAATTTAATAATGGCACGAAAACTTTGAAATAAATAGCTTTTTATGGTACCAAGCAGGTCAACTAACTGAACAAATAAAACCTAAAATAGAAATAGAACGCACCAGTGAATAAATTCCCAATTTCGATTTCCTCTGCTCAGTTCTATGGTAATAAGTTATAATTTCGATTGCTTGATAAGCTATCTAACTGCTACATATCCAGTGTTCGAACAGTGATAAATTTGTTTACGAAAGCACATGGAACTGTTAACATTGTTTTATATACACGCGAACACGTTTTCTGAATCAACAATTACTCATCTTTTGTTTATTTATAATAGATATATTCGCTTTATTAGGTAAAACGCTACTCATTTATAAACGAAGTAAAGAAAAATACCAGAAATATTGTTTTTATTTTGAACCCCCGGTGTGTACTGGAATGTGTTGTTTCATCCTTGTTTGGAACACTTCATCAGTTCCCATCCATGACTCTACCATGAGAGATCGTACCTGAAACAGTCAGTTTACCGGACTGTTATATAGGCATCATTTTGTAAAATGGTACATTTATCTTCACAGTACTGTTTGTATTCCTCCACCCACACACACTTATTACCTTGGAGCCCGATTGGTTCCATATTAGTTTGTTTATTAGATGTATCAAACACAGTGATGAAACAGTATTATTTACTGGATGACACAGTTTCGAACACAATCTAGTACTCTTCATGATCATATCTTGAATTATAATCACAGAACTTTGAAACTTGACTTTTATAGTTTTCTTTGTTCTCGCCTATTTTTCGTAGGTGTAGTAGAATTTTGCAGATGGCCGTCTGGGACAGGTCTTGAATCATTCCTATTACACGTATTCGCAGTTGATTCGAGAAAGTCAAAGCTCTCTACCTCAACGGTCTGCCTCTGTGTTTTCTTGTCTTTCTGCGTTACAGGTCCGATGGTATCGTATCGTACCGTTGTCGTTGCTAATAGCGAATAGAACAGTAGGAAGTTCGTCAGCACACACTACCAAGTATATTAATGGTCATGCCAAATACCAGCTCATTGAAAATTTAGCCAACGGCTTATGAATTCTAACTTTTGTCACTTCATGATTTTTAGCGCCACCTCCAGCGAGTATTAGTATTTTTCTTCACACACTATCTCATGGCCCCCACTGGTCACAACTTCTAACCAAATGACTGAAGTTGGAATTCATAAGCCATTAAATTCCTACACAAATGGCTGAATAGTCAGAGAGCTCATCTCGTAACGTGAATGTCTTGAGTAGGATCCCTGTTGGAGTCACTAGCGTGGAATAACCTGAAGAACCTTAAACTGGGATGAAGCAGTTATCGAATATTCCTTGGTCTCTGAGCGGTTTTCTAACTGTTATCAATTCATGATCAGACTTGAAACCAATGAAATCCCAACAAAAGGTATCACCTGCGAATTGATTTTATCATTATGTTTTTTGCAGTTTTTTAAATATTTCTAAATATTTACTTTATTCAGCAAACTAACCTGTTGTTTGTTTTTGTTGTTCCCTTATGCCTTTCAGCCTTACGACCCAATAGTTGTTCGTCAAAAACGCCATTCAAAGTATAATCAGTTCACTAGTCTGTCAGACAGCAAGCGACATTATACCAGTAGAAGGCTACACCATATTTCTGATGACAACTCCAAAGAAATGACAGTACTAAAGCACAAAGCAATGAATTCATTAAAAAGCAGTAATAATAATAATAATAATGAATGTTATCCTGAACAGATGGTCAGAACACCGCATGACCACAATCCATTAAGTTGTTGTCCAAGCAACAGTAGTGTAACTGTTGCATCGACTGAGAATTCTAAACACCAAACAGATTGTACGGATAGTCAACCAGTAGTAGTTGTAGACAATGAAGATGACAATGATGAAGGTACAGCAAAGAGGATGAAGAATCAGCGGAAATCACTGGAAACGTTTGATTTTCTTAAAATGCCTGATATCTATGAACAGAATGTAAATGCTGCAAGAAGATTGAAAAGTGAAGTAAGCTATGCAAAGTACAAAAGAAAATGCCAGTTGCGATTACTTATATTAATGAATAGTTTATTTAGTGGGGCATATGGTAAAGCAGATTTTATACAAAATGCTACTGGTAAGTTTTGTGTGAAAATACTGCTACTTTTTTTTCTTAAGCATAAATATTCGTTTATTTTTATATGAATTAATATTCCGCCTTCTTGTTAGGTGTTGAGTACTAGATAAACAAATATACGTCGTTACTAGTTACTGACTAGTGTCCAATCAAAATTATCCAATACAGTCAGTCCTACAGGAGGTCAATCGTGAGCCAGCCTGAATAGCCCAGGAGTAACACGTCTCTGACAGCAGCACTCACTGGGTGACTCGGGTGCAAACCTCAGAAAAGATATGAGTTCCTTCAAGGTTGCAGATACGCTTTGCTGACCAGTGAGTGTCAACTAGTACGAAACCTGGGTCTAGGCAGGGCTTCCTGCCGACTGCCTTCAACCATCTAACACGAATAAAGAAAGATACGTCGTACTGGGAATAAATGAATGTCACCATAACAAAAGAAGATATTAGGTATGCAACTGATATCTTCCACTTCCATACTATCGAATTGGTCGATAGGGAAACTTTATACTCATCAATATAACCCCGAGCTTGATTCCTATCAGATATTCAGAAACGTTTTCTTGTTGTTTTTTTATTATAGCTTGATTCCACACCGTATTTTTGGTACAAGTATGGAATTTTCAGCATGTAATGTCGTTAGCCCAAATTTTGCAGGCCGATCACTGATATCAGATGTGCGTTGGCAGGGGATCGAACCACGGACCATGTGCATGGTCGGCGAGAGTCCTAATCGCTGTGCCACCTACGCACATGGTACAGTGTGATGATTCGTTTTCCCTAAGAAAAAACAATTTGAGGGAATTTTCATGGTATTTGGGGGTAATATATGAGTTTTGGAAAAGTGTGGAGCAGAAGTTTAACATTGATTTGTCCCCAAATTATCTTTAGAAATTCTAAATCGCCCGCCCCCCGCTCAAATATTTCACTTGGGTTTAGTCACTGTAACTGAAGTTTAAGCATACTAAAAGCAACACAGTTTTGTATCTCCGACTTTTTACACTGCTATCGTGTATTAATATTAACATTTATAATAATAATCAACTTATAAACTCTGGAAGTTTTTTAGTACTTTAATGCTTCCACGAATATTATTATTATTGTTTTCTTTAATTCCTAGAGGAACATAGGGCTTCAGTCCTGCGTCTCCATTGCGTTCAGTTCTCTGCTAGAGTCTCCACCTGGCTCCAAGTCTGCCCACACGTTCTCATCTCCTCTTCACATGACGTCCTCCAAGTTACCCTTGGACGACCAACTCGCCGCTTCCCTTTCGGGTTCCACTAGAGCAATGGCTTGTCTAGTGATGTCACTTGATGGTTTCCACAAATATACTCCATACTATATAATCAGTATATGCTGACTAATTTACCGATATTCTTTTAACTCATGTTTCTACGCTTCAATAACAATTTGAAAGAAGTTTACACTTTCACTTATCTAGGAAGCATCATTTAAACTTCAGGCAGAGAATCTCAAACCAAACCAGAATCGGAAAGGTCAAGTAGACTTCCATTAATCGGAAATGAGTTTAAAAAAATCTACTGCATTTACTATAAGGAGCGAAATTTATATTTTCAATACTAATGTCAAATCAGTCAGTTCATCGATATGGTTCAGAAACATGGCTCGTCCGTGACAAAAGCCATTTGCAAGAGAATAGAAATCAACTGCTTTTGCAGGCTGATTACTAAAGATCAAGTGGCGGGTGAGAAAGGATCAAAAGTAAGGAACTCTTTAGTACAGCAAATCAAATAACAACCTATTGCCCGAAAAATATACAGAACGAAACTGAGATGGATTAGATACTCACTGAAGGGAGTGTCGAATGATATCGTGCACCAAGCCATCGCTTAAGAGGAATACAAATAAGGAACGAAGAGTTGGTCGTTGGTTGGTCTGATGGTGACATGGGGGAGATCGTGTGGGAAGGAGATGAGAGCCTATGGGCATCCATGGAGTCGGCTAAAGAGGAATTCCGAGAACACGACAAAGTGAAGATGTGTTGATGAAGCATTGTGCTCTACCAAGAACCTAAAGTAAACATAATAATTGATTTGATAGAAGAGAGTATTGTGATAGCGTAAAGCTAAATCAAGCCTCCAAATGCTAACGGCTGTCAGCTCAAGATATTGACACAAAAACAACCAATCACGTTCAAGGTCACCCGCCAGGAGAGATGACTAATAAACTCGTGGAGAAATCTAATAGCTCACTTCCTCAAATTAAAGTATGCGCTGAAGATGTTGCTTAGTAGGGCAATGTAAGCTTTGCAAATAAACTATCCAGCTAGCTCAGGGAACACAACTACATCAAAAACATTACAGTTATTTAAATATAATCTCCACAGTATTAGCTTATTTAAATTCCAAGGCATGACATAAACGTTAATTCATTGTAGACAGTATACTAGAATTCTCGCCAGCCAAGTAAGAGATCGGCGTTTGATTTCTTGACAAGACTATAGTAGACCGAATATAGTTTCCTAGCTAGTATGAAGCCCAGAAAAGCGGGAATTACTTGGTGTAATTCTAGCAATCTGGCCTCTAACAAATAAACACCCTTTCTTGGCTGCAACTTCAAAGCTTCGAGGTGCATGCTTCACTCTGAACATAAAAAGACCGAAACAGAAGCCTTATTGCTTAAAATCCTTTTTTATTACAATGAGTTTCTCTGAACCTCTTATCATTTTAAACTAAATTACTTAAGTGATTCATTTTTCTTAAGAAGAAAAGAAATCACACCTTAGGGATGTTGCGTAATGAAAATGAAAACAACACAGTGCAGATTAAATAAAGTAAAATTTCAAGAGGAAGTAATTAAGAAAAAGACAAAAAAACAAACTGTGTTAAACTATGATAAATTACTTTATTTATACTGATACTCAAACTACTCTGTTGTTCAACTTTGAATTAACTAAATTAAAGACCATTTCTTTACTGTTTCACTGCATTGTATTTCATTAGATTAATACATTTTGCTTAACACTGTTGTCAAGGAACTTAACCCTAAGTTCCCAATTATTTGCGAAGACGCTCCGAATCGACAATTATACTAGGTACGATTATCGACTTTAACTCTTAAACACAAGGACCAATAAGAAATTGTATTGTTCGGCAGTTAAAGTCAATATTCTGTACAAAGTCTATAAACAAAAGTGTCTTTTACAAGGAATGTATTGTACTTTTATTCGTATTTTTTCGTCTTCTTCCAAATTGTACACGACTGAATCATTCGAGCCATCGAGTTGCCCGCCAATGGCGATCAAGGCCAATGAACCAACGTTCAATGCTCACATTCATTTACAACTGTTACTTACTTTGTAAAGGAGTATTGTAGGCAAACAACGTTGGTTTGAGTGAACTTTGAATATACTAGACAAAGTGATTCCTCTGAGTGGACACTAGGTAGCATCTAGTGGCTTACATCTAGTCCTTTGTCCAGTGTGGACTTTTCTGCGGATAGCCTCTAACCATCTAACAATAATAATAATTCAAAGTGTATCATGATGGCGCGCCATTTCGCATACTGATCACTTTCCAAACTTCATTTATAGAATTCACTCTGCATCAACACCAAGGACTAGACGTTTGACACTAGTTAACTTGTTACCTAGTGTTCAATAAAAGTATCTATTACAGTCTTACAGGTGGTGAATTGCGAACCAACCCAAATAGCTCCTCAGTGGTAACGTCTCTGACTGCAGCACTCACTGGATGACACAGGTTTGAATCTCACGAGGGACATAGGTTCCTTCGAGGTTACAGATACGCCTTGCTGACAACTGTCAGTAAACACGAAACCTAGGTGCAAAGCTTCCGGCTGACTGTTTCCAACCATCTAATAGCAAAGTAATTCCTATTTGAAATTTTAGCAGTTTTTATTTAATGTCTTTAGGAATGATCTTTTAAGAATGTGGGGATTCCTTCTTTAAGATTTTGATGGCTCTATATATATATATATATATATAAAACATGATGTATAAGTCAGGAACGTTGCATGTTCATTGTTAGATAAGTTGCCAACCTCATACATCGTCCAGGTTGGATTCCTAGCCGACGCAATCCTAAACCTCGTTCAGACGGCGATGAGCCCAGTAAAAGGAGAAAGCTGCATGTGAGGTGAGTAAGCTCATCACTGCTGAAACTTTAAAACTCCAGCTTGAAGCCCTATGTTCCACTCGCAACACGAAGGAATGAATGATGGATGTAAGAGTCGAAGTATTCAATGAAGCTATGCCATTCATTGATTTGTGAAAAGTATGAGGAATTCGTTGCCCAGATTATAAAACTTATGCAATATGTAATTTTATATCCAAGGTCTGAAAAATGTTAACAGTGTTCAGAGTTCTTTCCTCTGAGTTCCAAGTGGGACATAAGGCTTCAGGCTTTGTGAGTATTTAGTAACAAGGCAACATCGCTAGTCCCAAGCCCAACGTTTCTTTTTTTCCGAGCTTACTACCGGTTGGTTAACCTAGGCGGCATTTAGGAGTCCATCAGGTGACAATGGAACCTGATAATTCTCTCACTGAACCACCGAAGCATGAGGCGTTATAAACCCAATTATGGAATGATGTTTATCCTGGGAAATCCTGGAAAGTTTAGATGTGGGACTAACAATCGTGCTTTGTAGAACAACACCCTTCATCTCTATGGAAACCTTAAGACACACTCACAAAAATATAATGACAATAATCAGCCATTAAAACTGAACTGAATTTTCAGTTCATTTGCTAGTAATAACTGCTTGAAAAATTTATTTCGTATTGCTAATGAAGTAATTTCATGTATGATAATCTAAAAGGTTAAATTTAATTATTTCATGAATCTGAATTATCTTTTCGATAACTTCATCATCAGGTAGCTTCTACAGTTATATACACACATAATAGTGAATGACTTAGTGTTATTAACAACAACATTAATGTTGTTTAAATAAAGTCGAATCAATAATAATATCAATAGATTACAGTTTGATAACATCAACATAAAGATATAAAAAATGTCAGAGAAATTAGGAAAAATAATAATAGCACAATTTATGAATTTATAGTCTCCACTGAAGGTCAGCCAGGGTAGTAGTAGTGGCTGGCTGGACTTGTTTCTTCTGCACATAGATCACTGGTTGTGTTAAGAGGAATCACGATAGTCTCTGCTGTTTGGGCTATGCTGTAGGTAGCTGAAAGTTTTTGGCAATTTATTTGGAACTTAGTAGATGATGGAGAAGGAATCCACAATATTAGCTTTGTGACCGGTTTCGACTAGGAGGTCTAACATCGAACTGTTGATGGCTTTCACTACACCATTATTTAGCCACAACACTGGTAGACGTTCCGGAGTGAATGCGGAAAGTCAAGTTCCTAAAGCAACGGGAAATATGACTCGCTCCACCACAAATGCAGTTGAATTGGTAGATACAATTAGAAGCAGTTAGTCTAGGTACATTATTGTTGTTAATAACACTAATTCATTCATTCACTATTATAGATGGATATATAACTGCAGAACCTAATGATGAGGAAGTTATCAGAAAGAATATTCTTTGATGAGTTACCATTTTTTGTAAACATTTTAATAGGCATTTTTGATCATTTAGAATCTGAATAAAATAAATGCAAACTACGCTTTAAAGAACATGATTATCTATAAATACTAGTCAGTTAGATGTAACATAATTGAAAGAATTCAGTATAGCTCGGTTAAAATTGATAGTGTGAAGTCACGATCCCTGTTATAAGGAATAGAAGTATTATAGCGGAATAGGGAGAAAAAAATTAAATTAAAATATCAAGATTCATAACAACCACGCATGAAACTCTGAAATAAATTAGGTTCATTGTAGTTTCAGTGACCAAACAGACATCTGTATACTAAGTTCAGGATTTAACATGTGCATTGGCAGGAACCAACAGCTTGTGGCGTTTGAATAAGTCTGATTCATACTCCATTTGGTAAGATTCCTATCTGCTCTGTTTATATGATTCTGAAGTTGGTTTGCAAGTCCCCTTGGTGTCTAGAATCGATCAGATTTTCTATAAAAGAGCTGCGAAAGATGTTTTTCTCCTATGTAAAACCATTAGGGTAGATGTTCCGACATTTATCCTGTCAGTTATGTCACCTCACCAAACTTACTTTTGTGATTCTACTTCAAGTTTCTATCCGGTATAATGTAATTGTTATCTGGAACTTAGAATTTTAATGACACACGTTCTGAAACCTCCCTTTTGTTGCTTTAAAAATGTACCATATATGGTTAGAATCACTTTTCCACAGGCACAGTTAGACATTGTACTGCTTCAGTCACTGATTTTTAGGATAAATGGCTATATTGAACTACTGCGGATTATAAATTATGGGTGATTAACATATTTGTTGGAGAGGGGGGGGGAGACTGTCGAATGACAACACTTATCAGGCAATCCCTCGAGTGCAACCCAAATATTATTATTATTCCCTTGGGTTCCAAGTGAAAAATATGGGTGGCTTCAACAACACATCTCCACTTTCTTCTATTCTCAGCCATCCTCTTCTGCTGGGTCGTCGATTTCTCACAATCTCTTATCTCTTCCAACTCGGATGATCTCTTCCATGTCACCCACACAACAACGACACACTCGTCGATTCGCATTTGAATTCCACTCGAGCAATGGCCTGTAATGAGGCTCTCGCCTGTTGGTTTGTTCGCACAGTTTCTTGATACTAATTTTTCCTGGCCATTTGATCTTCAACATGGGGCAAAGGCAGCTGTTGATTAATTTCGCCAGCCTGTTGGAAATCCTTTTCGTTACACGCTGGCCAAGTTTCTAACCCGTATGGAAGGACTGACTTGACATTGGTGTTCAAAATGCGAATCTTCTTCTTTATGCTGAATTAGTGCAGAAGATTTCCGAACTGGTTTCAGCGTGATGAAGACGTATCTTGCCTTTCCGATTCTGACTGGCTTCGACATCTTCATCCATTCCAGATGTCTGTAGTTGAAATGATGCTTCCTAGCCAGATAAGTAAAGGAATTAACCTCTGTTAAATCTCCCCTTAATGGGAAATGACAATCAGCGAGTGGGTCGGAGAGTGAATGAAATTGACGAGATCGTGCAAGCAGTTCATGAAAACTTAGGAGCAGTTATTGAGCCAGATAAAACAAACGACCCTCGAAAACAGAATTAAGTGACGATGTGCTCCTGAAGGCCTATTTTTCACTCAGAACCAAAGGGTGTTATAACAATATTGATAATAATAATCTTTTTTTAATCTGATGATATTAGATAGTCAGAGGCAATCGGCAGGAAGCCTTGGCCACACCTAGGTCTCGTGCTAGTTAGCACTCATCAGCAAGGCGTATCTGAAACCTTAAAGGAACTAGAATGGTGGCCACATTGCAAACCTAACTGATAGAATTCAGTCTGTACCAAAGATAGGACTAGACACGTAACACTAGTTATTAGTGTTCAATCAAAGCTTTTTAATCATTGCATTTTTTATTCCTGTTCGTTCCCATTGGAACACAGGACTTCAAGCTAGAGGCCTGAAGTTTCAGTAGCAGTGGTATGTATTTTTACGGGATGGGGTTGACAGAGTCAAGCCCAACCTTTCCTCTTTACCAGTCTCATTACTGACTCAGCGAGTGCGTCCAGTGGCCGGAGATCGAACCACGAAAGATACGAGGTGTTGTTAGCGAGCATTCTATCGCCGTGCTTCCGACGAATCATTGCATATATATGCATATATAGCACTCAGCATCAAAAATAAGATCCGGATTTTCAACTCCAATGTGAAGTCAGTGCGACTATACGGATCAGAGACTTGCACTGCGCGTCATAAAGAGCATCTCAAACAAACTACAGACCTTCATTAACAGCTGTCTTTGCTCAGTACTCAAGATCAGATGGCCAGAAAAAATCAGCAACAGGGATCTCTGGCAATGAACGAACCAACTCAGCAGGAACCGATTGTGAAACAAATAGGCAGGAAGAAATGGAGATGGATTGGCCATACTCTGAGGAAACCATCAAGTGACGTCTCTAGACAAGCCCTTGAGTGGAACCCGAAAGGGAAGCGGCGAGTTGGTCGTCAGTGTGAGGGTGGGTGACTTGGAGGAGGTCATATGAAGAGGAGATGAGAACGTGTGGGCAGACTTTGAGCCAGGTGAAGACTCTAGCAGAGAACCGAACGCAATGGAGACGGTTGGCTGAAGCCCTATGTTCCTCTAGGAATTAAAGGAAAGAATAATAAATAATAATATGCATATACTACTTTTCATCTTTCCTCCTATTTTTTCTTGCCTTCTTAAACTCTAGAATCTTCATCAGATAATCAATTACACAAATCAAGTGAATACATATTTCAAAAATTATTCGGTCCACTGAGTAAATATCTACGTCTTACTAAACAGCATACATATCATAATAGAAATATGATATTAAATCGACTTAAAATCTATTTACAGTATAATATGTCAGCTGAAGCATTTCTTAGTATCTACTTCAATCCACCGAATGAATTCATCTCACTACACTACTGTCATCTCTCTTCGAGCATTACTCATAAAACTTGCAGTCAAACTGACAAGCATAAAATTGCTACAAATAACATACATTCATGGAAATGCTGGAGAAGAGAATCACAAGCTTCTGGTGAGAGTAAATTGAACAAAGCCTCGCTTAACAAATCTAATATTAATTCAGATTCAGATAGACAAATATTTCAAACCTGGAAACTACGACTATGTGATCCATTGAGAAATGCTTCAGTATATGATGGTTTCCGCTTTGAATTAATACGTTCAAATGTTAAGTTATTTTGTTGTGTTAAACAATGCACTTTATTTGAATTGATTCAAGCTAGTTTACCACCGGCAGCATCATGGTGGTCATTTGGTTTCCAATATGAATATAATCATAATAATCATATCCTACTACCGTCGTCTACGGTTGAGACGTGTATTGGTAGTTCAGAGAATACTGCTGAAATCAAACTATAAGACGAAAACAGAGACAGAAATGTCTGTCTGTGTGTGTGGGGGGGGGTGTATATGTGGTTTATGAACAGCATTTTTACTTGTTAAAAAAAATATATTTTTACTTCTCTCTTATACTATATGACTATGGTGTTTTGCATTTCTATACAAAGATAAATTATTTGATTTCATTTCTTGTGTTCTTTTATTCTCTAAACATTACACACTGAAAGAATCGAAACATTTGAAGCTGTTGAAGTCTTTCAGGTCGAGTGTGAGAACAAATATGTGCCAGTGATAGTGGCTGAAGATGATGCTTAAGTTACGAGCTGGGGAAAAGTTACAATTCATGGGTCAGTGGCTGAATCGTGTATGGATTGTAGCCGGAAGATCCTGGGCTCGAACCCTGGCGATGGGTGCGTACTGATGATGAGTCATAAAGTAGTATGAAACGGCTGTCCACTACTCCTCGCTAGTTTTTCATGATTTTCCAACGCTAATATCAGTCCGTGATCGAACTCAAGACAAGTGAGATACCTAGAAATTAACTCTTCAGAAGAGAAAAACGCAGACATCGTAAATGACTGTGTGTATTACGTAACATTAAGACTGGCAGTCGCTCCATGGATATCGCAAATTTACAGTAGTTAGTAGTTGATGGGCTCACCACTGGATCTTTTCCAAGTAGTTGAATAGTCAGCAAACTCATTTTGTAACCTAAAGGTCCTCAGTTCGATTTCTGATCGGGTGATGGGTGAAGAGTCGCAAATAAGGATGAAACAGTTGTCTAGTATTCCCTGTTAATTTTTATTGATTCTCCAACTGAAGTTAGCTTGTGACCAATCTTGAAAGTGAATTTTTTAGTAGAATAATTGAAAAAGCAATGGATGCAGTGTTTAGAAACACTTTGAAAATATTCTCATGAATTAGTGTGCACGGATTCTATTAGTTTCAGGTTCGACCGCGGATTGAAATCAGTTAGAAAACCATTGAAAATAAGCACTGGAGTACTGGACAGCTGATTCGTCCTAGTGTGTGTGACACATTGTCAGTATGCACCCACCACCAGGGTTCGAAACCAGGACCTTCCGGTTACAAGGTAAGCTTGTAGACTATTCATCTACTGAGACCGAATCCAACGGCTAGCCCATAGATTGCACCTTCTACTGATTCGCGATCCCGGGTTCGAAACCCACTTGGTGCGTACTGCCAATGAATCTGAAACTAGGATAAAATAACTGTCCAGTAATCCCTGGTTTTAGTGGTTATTTAATTGATATCAATCCGTAGTCTAACCTTAAACTTTTAAAATAGGAGCTTTCTTTATTAAAAACACGTTACATCATGTTTATTATTTATACGCAAGCAATAGTAATCTCTTAACAGACTGTTAAAATTTGGATAAGGTTATTAAAAACAAAGTTTATCTCAAAGTGTTGTGATTTATTTGAGCAATGCATTTCGAATAATATAACCGTATTGTTTGCTGATCAGTTCACTTCACATGAAAAATAAAGAAAACTGATCGGCCAGTTAAAATAAACAAAATGTGATAAATATTTATTTACTGCAATTTTGTTTTCTCTCGTTGATTAACAGGAACGGAATGTCAGACGTCTGCCGACAAGTTGACTTCTAGTTCGGATGGACACTCCGCATTTGAAACAATGACTGCTGAGTTCGAGTCTCACTGGAAATACCATAATTCACTGGGATTGCATGTAAATCCGGGTGAGGAGTCCAAAAAGGGACGAAATGCCTATCCTAGATTCGACTGCTAGTCACCATGGGTAATTTAAGAATAAGAAGGATGATAATTAACTCTACTCATTGCTAATGTAATCAAATATAGATCAGGAAGGTAGGTTAAGTGTACACCTAGTGGGTAGGGGTTAATTCTACTGATGGCTTTCGCTTCAGATTAATGCTGATACCTTTGCGAAACGGCATGACTCCGGTTTTTCGATGACTAACAGTATTAGTGTCCGCATTAAATTAGACTAATTATTTTTCTATTGTAGAGTAATTTGATTTGGATATCTTTCTATAGAAGAGCGAAGACTATAGGTGTTGGAACCCATTGACCTGTGAACCGGTTCAAAATCTCCATAGGATATCCCTTTTTGACGTATAAATCCTGAATCCTCCTAACTAAGAATTCAACTAAGCCTCTCTTGTATTGTTATGGACAGAAACTGTGACAGTTTAAATACTGTCCTGTCTAAATGGACTTTTTATCAGTCGAAAAGAGACAAGTGCAAATTTTAGAGTTATTAGATATGAAAATTTATAGTAATAAATAGACTACAGAAAACATAAAAAATGCCGCATCCGATTGATACATAATTTATGAAAACTCAGCTAATTTTGCTGTCAAATGTATATCATTAAATTCATTTTTGAGTGTCAAAAATTATTTTTACAACTTGTGGAACTCAACGGACCGGTGTAGCTGTTTTATATTTAGATTGAACTGCTTAGCATTAGCTGCTTCGATTACAAAGTTAAATGCCTAAAGAGATGATGCCAAACGATCCTCAAACAAAATTAACTATCCAGCCTGAGTTTTCACTTGGAAGACTTCTTATTTTAGGTCCAACCAAACTCAATTCCCTTCCACATAATTGTTAGACAGAGGGGTTCTTGGTTAGTTTCTTAAAATGAAGACACTCCTTGTAGCTTAATTTTCCTAGTGAATAATCTGATCTTCAGCCCCAAACTAGTGAAGGCAGAGCTGTTGATGACAGTCTTCAGCTAGTTGGATAGAAGTAACACAGTTACACGTCACTGTTTGATCCTTAGTTGACTCTTACAGTTCAACCCCACAAATGTTCCGTGTATTTCCAGCAGTGTTTTCTAACATGCATTGAGTTTTATCCTAGCCAAATAGTGTTACAAAATTAAACTCCACTGGCTCCTTATTCAAGCAGTGTTTACTACTTCAGTTACTTAAAAGTGGTATCAGTTTTAAAAATTATCAGTAGGTGTTTCAGCTTGAACACAGAGTACTCCTTCGACATTCCCCTCGATCCCATTATTTTTTGTGTGTGGAAGATACCTAGGTGATCATTATACTGTGGGTCAGTTTACTCACAGCTGCCTCACCACTGTGAGATATGACTGCTAAATGTTGGAAGCATGCAAAATAATAGGAGTTTTACGATAAATATTTAACTTTTAACTTTTCATGTTAGGCGCAGTGACATAGCAAATGGTAAAGAAATCAGACGTATTATTTGGTTAGGAGAATAAGTCAATAAAGGGTGACTTTAAACTATAGCAGACCAAAACGAAACCACTGAACTAACAGATTAATGACCTAGAGCAACCAACCAGAAGAGTCCTTAATACGTAAGTACAGTTAGGGATTTTCAAGAGTTGGTTTGTGACGATTAGATTTGTTTTTTCAAGTTTGCCCACGGATTGATATCAGTTGGAGAACCATTGAAAACCAACACTGGAGTAATGAACAGCTGTTTCATCCTAGTTTGGGAATCATCGGCAGTACGCACTCACCACTGCAGGGGTTTGAACCCAGGACCTTCCGGCTACAAGAAAAGCTCATATATCATTCAGCCAGTGGGACCCGATTCAATGTCCAGCCCATGAATTCTAACTTCTAGGATGAAACAGAGTGCGTTGGTGGCACGGCGGTTTAATACACGCTAACCTCACCTCACATGGTTCGAGGTTCGATCCCTAGCCACTGGACGTACTCACTTACCTCACTAAGCCAGTAATGAGGCTAGTAAGGAGGAAAGGTTGGTCACGAGTCTAGCAACGCCATCCAGTAAAAATAAATACCACTGCTATCAAAACTTCAGGCCTCTAGCTTGAATTCCTATGTTCCAGTGGGAACGTAAAGGAAGAAAAACAAAGAAAAAGAAGGATGAAACATCTGTCCAGTACTTCAGTGCTGTTTTTCAATGGTTCTCTAACTGATGCCAATTCGTGATCAAACTCGAAAAAATAATTAAAGATGCTGTACTCGAACTACGTAGCAGATTTCATCCCGATCTAGTATTTAATTACTGTTTGAACAGCTGGTTCATAGGAAGGAAGAAAACGTGTAGATGTGCAGGTGTGATGCGTTTGCAAAGATACATCGGGTCCATTGATGAATTTGTGTACAGGTACAAAGACTGCTGAAGTAGGAAATCAGTTCAAAACAGTATGCCTTACTTTTCTTAGTTTGTGAAGTCACCCAAAAAAGAGGAACAGAGAGGTGGATGGGTGGGTCAAGAAACACGATGATTTACAGTAATCTCAGCGAATTTATGAACATAAATTGGTTTGGCCTAACTATGAGGACTCTAGTGAGAAATTAGGAGGTTTTTCTGAAACAAATATAGGAACGTTATTCCATGCAACTACTTTCTAACACTACATAGATTTTATATAAACGTGCTTTTTTCAAATTACGCACTTTTACTTTGGACGCATCGGATTGGTTGATAGGAATTTGTTAGGATCTTTGATAGGTAGTTTTACATTGGGCTCCTGTAGTTTACAGTTATGAATCTTCGTTGGAACAAGTGCTAAGTATACGAAACCGCGATCTTCATTAGAAATACAATGATATATATATATATATTAGTCAGTAACTAGTGTAATGTGTCTAGTCCTATCTTCGGTGCAGAGTGAATTCTATCAGTCAAGCTTGCAAACCTACGTCCAAGGCTTCCTGCTGATTGCCTCCAACCATCTAATGTAAACCTGATATCAATTCATGAAGACAATGACATTTGGCCTGAATTACCGTATGGATACTCAAATAGCTTATTTTGAATCCTCCGGATGATTGGATATCCTTGATAAGACAGTGATAAATGAAGATGCAAACATACTTCCTTTGCATCAGTTTTGCAACTATTTTCTCTCCTACATATCTCAATCCATTGCATCTCAGTTCTCGCTTTTTACGTTTACAGTTACGCAGTGGCCTGCTTAAACTACTGCGCAACGAGAAATTCCATCTATCAAAATTCTTTACACTTTTTTGAAATTCTTATTGTTTTAATCATATAAGCATATAAAATGGTCACT